GGCTATGCATCAAAAATCAAGGCTTCACTACAGAGCATGGCCAAACCCAAAGTCAAGTCCCAGATAAAAAATGAGACCGCCTCCTAACATTACAGTCAGAAACACAGCTAATTTTATACAGAGATCCTGCAAGACACACGGAAATAACAGCCGCCAATATGCCGCATTCCCACAACTGTACTGAACAATGGTTTATGGCATAATCCTGCAACCATGTGTGCCTACAACACCGGCATGCCAGCAGCGTGAAAGGTGTGTGTGTGTGTGTGTGTGTGTGTGTATATAGAGGTGATTAGAGTAGGAGGAGACAGAGCAGAGGTTTCACCAGCACAGGAACCAGACTGTTTCACTGCTGCCCATGTGTGTTGGCTGTGAGACACAACTCTGTTGTCTTCTTACCAAAATAGGACAGAAAACAGGCATATTATTACAGACATTGATAACTTTGCGATACATCTGAAATCAGAGGGGAAATATGGCTATAAAATAACAGCTTAAAGACTGCTGACTCATTTGTACTGTCATAATAAGTGATGTTGTAAGTATGCTTCTTACACCCTTGTGAGAAAGATATCCATTGTCTTTTTGACATCAAACCACAATACAGCCCCTTTGGGCATTTTGTGCCTGTGTGTGTGTGTAGGTGGATGATAATGTAGTAGAATCAGATGCTGTTTGTTTACTGCATCACTGTTGTTTGTTCACATCACTTCCTGTAGGCATGAGACAGGCCGACAGAGAGCAGAGAGAGTTTGTCTGTGTCAGGATGTTGACTAGCTGTCTGTCTTCTTCTGTGCCGATCAACTCTCTGTTTATCCGGACTGACAGTTTGGACAATGCTGCTTGTCACTCTCTCTCTCTCACACACACAAACACACACACACAGACAGGATGAAAAAATCCATATACAGGGCAATGAAAAAGTGTTATGTTTGTAGACAGTTTGTTCAAAATTAACTTCAAAGTGGATTTTTATTAATAAAATGTGAATATTTGACAAATGTGGATGCAAAATATGTGCACAGCCATGTGTAAGACACACACACACATAATGTCTGACTTTTTTCTTATGTCTCAAGATGATACATCTGCTCCCCATATTTCATACATCAAAGCGAAACGTGTGACTGGGACTGCTTTGTTGACATATATGAAGGGTGCTATCGAGCTAATTTTCCACACCAGTGCCCCACAACCATTTCAGACAACAAAATTCACCCCATCTGACGCGTGTGCCAAGTTTTGCGCCAATACGCCACCCCCGACCACAAATGTGACATCAAATCGAAATATTTACCTGTTCAACTATGGGTGCAAGCTTGGTGATTTTTTTGAGCACCCTAAAGGCATCAAACATGTGTAAATTGAAATTTACACAGGAAATCCAAAATAGCTGACTTCCTTTTGGGCAAAATCTTGAAACAGAAATTTGTTGTGATGTCACATTCCCGCTAACCAGGAAGCAAGTGATGCACTTTGAGTTTGTTACTTTAGCGTTGCCAAAATGCTGGATGGGTGTTTCGGATGCACTAATCGACGAGGAGACAAGCCTTAGCTGTGTTAGGTGAGGGATTCCCTACAAGGTAAATGTAAACATTACCACAGTCGAGCGCTGGCAGGGACCGGACAGTTTTTAATGGCGGAAATACTGCAGCAGGTCTTGTATATGGATCGCAAGTGCCCAACATTTGCAGTTTGCGTCCATATCTATCTTTTTCTTGAGTTGAGAGGTGATCCAAATAAAATGTAACGGCTTTTGCGGCGTCCCTACGGGAGAGTCAGGTGTGAGCCGCTAATTGGGTCACTTGTTTTGTCCTCCAGGTCACCACGCATGTCACATGACTGAAAACTGTGAGGTAAAACTATAAGGTACTATTAGCTCTTTAAAGCCCCCCTCCAGTGTATTTTGACATTTCTATGATAGCTAGTCATTTCCTTACAATGTTGATTACCCACATAGTTTGCCAAATATTTTTTGACAAATAGCTTAATTTTGTGCTCAAAGTTGCAAAAGTTGCTTAGTTGTGAAAACGCGGTGGTGACATATGACTATAGAAATTCCAGACAATCAGCAATTGGAACAGCAGCGGACTTGATGACGGCCGGACCCGTTAGCGGGACCTCACATCAGCTCTGACTTGAGAAATCAACCACATATTTGGAGTTTTAACAACTATATTCCAGCATAAAAAACTCTTAAAACTACTATGTGACAGAAGAAGAGCAGTATTTCTCATTCGACATTTCCGCTTTTTGGCAGCGAAATGCATTCTGGGATATCTGGCTATCCAAAGTCCACACAAGTCACCACCGATGCAGGCACGGTAAAACGGGCAGAGTGAGAACACATCCAGGTATTTGACTGTACTTGGCTAGATGCAGACTTTTGAATTGGAACAGTACTTTGTCTGCGACTGATGACGTTTCACAAGTCCACAAGAACACAAGTACAGACAAGAACGCAGATTGAAAAACAGCTCAGGAGAAATGTGATCTCTCTTTCTGGTTCCTGTTCGAACATTGTGCTGCAGCATTCTGGATCAGCTGAAGAGTCTTGAGCAACTTATACGAGCAGCCTGAAAATAAGGAATTGCAGTAATCCAGCGTAGAAGTAACAAATGCCTGGATTAGTTTTCTCACATCATTTTGAGATAGGATATTCCTAATTTTTGCAATATTACGTAGGTTAAAAAAGGCAGTCCTATGTTGCAGGACATATCCAAGATCAAAGATAAGTCAGAGGCTCCTTATGGTGGTGTGGTAGGCCAGGGCGATGCCATCCACTATTGAATGAACAATTCAGATAAAACTAACATACTGTTTGTGCTTCTAGTCCGAGGTTTGGATGATATAAAAAGGTATTTCTCCACTTATGTTTCCAATTAACATGTAATTTCACAGTTGTTCAGTTCACTCCTGTAATGTCCTGTACTCGTACAGATTGTGCACCTCCTGATTTTACATTCTGTCTAAAGATGGCTAAATAAGTGTTTGCAAGATTGCAGTCCACTTTGTTCCATGACTAATAGTGTAATTTTGGCCTGTTGATGTGCAGCAGGGAGAGGCCTTTGAAGTAGAGGAGAGCAGGACACTGACGCTCACATGGAGACTCAAGCAGCTGTCTTCAATATCAAAGACAACAAATAGTCATCATGTCCCCTGTAATACTTTATTTATTTTTCTTTTCTTCTTTCCCTCCTCTCTCATCTGGTAGTTTAACAATATCAGTGACACAGAAGTAACGTGTCTGGATTTTGTGACTTTTAAACTTACCTTGTAGCCCACCCTCTCAGACTTAATTGCGCACTATCCTCAATGGCCACATCCAAAGACATTTACCATAAATCAAGAGATTATTGACATACAGTGGACATGTAAACACACACAAACACACTCTCTCTGTTGCTCTTTCACGCATGCAAACAGCAATCAGCACTTGTAGATCTCCATTACAAATAGATAGATAATTTTTATTGTCCCAGGAGGGAAATTTGTTTTCACAATCTGCAGGTGTTCATATACATGCACTCATTTGTTCCCCTTCCTGAATGCCCACACTTGCATACATGAGTACACACACTTACATACTGTATATACAAACAGCTTTACGTAGTATTCAGCAATGTATTTTATTTATGGCTGCTATGGCAGAATGGACTAAGCTCCTGCCAAAGTGTGCCTTCCTCCATTTACATGTCCTGTTTTTTTGCCTAATGGAAGTAATGTGAAATGTAGATTGAGGGGGATCGGTGTAATTTGCTGTGATGAGTGCTATGCATGTGAAGGTTGTGTTGCTGAGGTCTGGTAGGTCAGACAGAGATGCTAATGATTTTTGTATGTCTGATCTTGCCAAAGCTCCCCGTTGGTGGAAACAGTCTGCATGGTGAAGAAGCAGGGGTAATAGTGCAACAGGCAGTGTCCAGTCCAGTACCGTGTGTGTTTGGTGTGTCAGTGACCAGTTCTTCTGTTTTTTTTTGACACAGTGCAGGTTAAGTGAGGTTAAAATTATCCATGTAAAAGCTTCTTTTTTCTCAGTTTTGGTGTACAGGGCCTTTGACATGAACATACACTTGATAAAATTATTAACGCAACACTTTTGTTTTTGCCCCCATTCATCACGAGCTGGACTCAAAGTTATAAGACTTTCTCTGTGTACACAAAAGGCCTATTTCTCTCACATAGTGTTCACAAATCTGTCAAAGTCTGTGTTAGTGAGCACTTCTCCTTTGCCGAGATAATCCATCCACCTCACAGGTGTGGCATATCAAGAGGCTGATCAGACAGCAGGGGTAATGCACAGGTTTGCCTTAGGCTGGCCACAATAAAAGGCCTTAGGCTGGCCACAATAAAAGGCCACTCGAAAATGTGCAGTTCCATCACACAACTCAATGCCACAGATGTCGCAAGTTTTGATGGAGTGTGCAATTGTCCTACTGACTGCAGGAATGTTCACCAGAGCTGTTGCCCGTGAATTGAATGTTTATTTCTCCACCATAAGCCGTCTCCAAAGGTGTTTCAGAGAATTTGGCAGTACATCCAACCGGCCTCACAAACGCAGACCACGTGTAACCACACCAGCCCAGGACCTCCACATCCAGCTTCACCTCCAAGATCGTCTGAGACCAGCCACCCGGGCAGCTACTGCAACAATCAGTTTGCATAACCAAAGAATTTCTGCACAAACTGTCAGGAACCATCTCATGGAAGCTCATCTGCATGCTCATCATCCTCATAGGGGTCTCGACTTGACTGCAACTTCGCACAACCATTGAAGAGGAGTGGACTAACATTCCACAGGCCACAATAAATAACCTGTTCAACTCTGCGAAGGAGATGTGTTGCACTGCGTGAGGCAAATGGTGGTCACACCATATACTGACTGGTTTCGGGACCCCCCCCAATATAGCGAAACTGCACATTTTCGAGTATAATTTTGTTCAGTGTAATATAACAACTAAAGAAATAGCTTCTGATATCCTGCTGTCTGTCTCTCTTGGCAGGACGTTGAGATACGAACCAATGCAGCTTTATACCTGCCCCAGATAAGCACGCTGTTGAACCGAGTGCCACGGCAGATGCTGTTGCTGCTGAAGACCAACGACCTGCTGAGGGGGATTGAGACCACCTTACAGACCAGAGCCTCCTCCTCATCTTTCATCAACATGTCCCGCTGCTGCATACACGCCATGGCCAGGTCAGAAAGATTGTTTCTTTTTAAAGGTTTAATTTTAACGTCACGAGACATTTTGTTATCTTGTTTAAAGCCACAGTGAATAGGCAGTGTGAACGTGGCCCGACCTCGATCAGACCCAGCTGGAGAAAGCACTGCACGGCTGCATGGCTGTACATGGCTTATTAGTGATAGCACTACACATAGCAGTATGTAGTAATAATTTTTGATTTAATAAGCTGTTGATCCAGTTGTATAAATATACCCTCTTTCTATGAATTCAAACTTTATACATGGTCCTTCTTCTGGGCAGCATGCATGTTAGGTGCGTATAAGAGCTTGCTGTGTCTGCTGGGGCTTATAATATAGTTCAGTTTATGAATCTAAAGCATCCTGCTTTTCCCTGCTCCAGAATTTCTGTCCAATGGATGGATGATCTTAGCACACATGTTCTTACAAATTCTGGTTCACTTGTGTAAAAGCGAACCGCCCCAGCAACAAAAAAAATCAATTTGTTTGTGATGAGTAAACTAGAAAACTGTCCTCACTAGAAGGAACTGCTACAAAAACAGTGTACAGTAGGCTACTGTGGTTATTTATTTCTGCTGCAACTATTAAAGTCACATTCCTCCTCATTTAAAAATTTAAGATATCTGACTTTGGCTTTCCCCGGTGGCTGTATCAGATAACAGACACTGTGACGGACAGGAGTAAGGTCAGTTTTGTATGTATTCGTAGTGTAATGGTGAGACAGGAGATGTGACAAACTAAGCTGACAAGTAAGTGGCTTTGGAAGAAAAATTGGAGTTTACCACTACAGGTTGGGAGAGGTGAGATGTGGGCTGTCACTTCACTTTTCAGATGACTAAAGGACAATGCTCTGGACACACACACACACACACACATACACAGAGTGTCTCTGCCTTGCCTGGTGCTGTACTGCTGACAGTGGTAAAGCTTTTCTGAATAAGCACATCTTATAAAATATTAACCAACTTTAGTGCCATGGGATAGTAATGTAATACAGGCACCAGGGGATCCTGCAGTGCCACCTCGTTCCCACAACTCAACTGAAGCATTTTGTACTCACAGCTGCTCTGTTTCACTGTGTTCATGTGTTCATGGGCTGTTAGCAGCCAAAACCAGCGTCTCTGGAGTGTAACACCAAGTCCTGATATTTTTTAAATGCAAGATAAAGTGGACCAAGGTGATTATCTGTCTGCCAGCCAGGGCCTTTCTGTTTCCCTGTGTCTCCATGGGTTTCATTTTGGAAAGAGACATGAAGGTGTAGGGGTTTACTTAGATTGCGATGACAAGAACACTGAGTCCAACCCCAGGTTTTATTGACACGGTCAGGAAGCAGAGACAGTCTCTTCGAAGATTCTGAAGCACATGTGACAATTTTATACTGGTATCCAAGTCTTAAGACCACCGCCTCCCATCCCTATTGAGGCATATTTTGTAGGTTTGAATATACCTCCTTTTTCTCATACCAAGTAGACCTCTTTGAATCCCCCGCAGATAACATATACCATATCAAACACTTTGTATGCAAGGGTCTGCAAGGAGTCTATTGTAAGAACCACAAGGATACCAGCACACTAATAACAGTACACATGTCATGCATATGCACACACACAGATATCCATCACAGGTTAGGTCAATTAAAATTCCCATGGTTATAAATGTGAATGATTGTCTAGATGTGATCACTCTGTAATCTGATCCGGCGTACACCCTGCCTGTTTCCCATTGTGTGCTCAGATAGGCTCCAGCCTTCCATGACCCTTGACAGAATAAACGGTCGAAACCAAGGATGGAAAAATAAATAAATTAATAAACCAATGATGGATGATAGTAATAAAGTTATAGTTAACAATCTTAAGCTCAAAAGTATACTTACTGGTTTTTCCTGAGCCTTCAACTGTTGTCATCGGATGAGCTTTGTTTGGGACACACAAGTTCCACACTTAAGTCATGCATAACAACTATAGCAGAGCTGATGAGGACAACCCCACCCTCTGAAGCAGGCAGGCAAGAAAAAAACTGATAGGAAACTTAAGTCTGCAGCGTCATTAATGGCCTCTCATGGCTGCAATGGTCATTACACCCTACCATGCAAAAGACAAAAAGACATTAACAATTATGTCAATTATTCTTCGAGCCTTGAAAACATTTTGGCTAAAATTCCGCAAAATGCAAAAGGGTTTATCCATCCGTTGAACATGGTTTTTGATTGTTGGCCAAAAATTTTAACGCTTTTCTTCACCCAAATCACAAAACTGTAACATATAATGGTATTTACCATGCTGAGTTTTATTTTGGGTTTACGTGTCAAGGTTTTGAGATCTCTCTCGGAGATTTCAGCCACAACCCCAATACAATATTGGTGAATGGAATTTTTTTTGTGCCGCTCACAGCACTGAAAAATGACATTTGAAAAAGTCAACAGTCATTGTAAAGTGTCCCTGTTACTCTGGATAATCCTCACTATCAGCAGTTTTCGTTGGAACTACTTCTTACAGAATAAGTGGATTATCCAGTACATTTCTGTAGTTCCTGATGCTTTGAGCAGCTCTAACAAAATACCATTCACTAACACTGTGTCAGAGTGGTAGCAATCTCAAAACCTCAACACATAAAACAGAAACTAACTGCGGAGCTACATACATATGAGATTTAACATTTTCAACAAACAACTTATGTAGTGGCTAATAGTGACTCGTTAAACTTCAGTGTGTAAGATTTAGTGGTATCTAGCGATGAGGTTGCGAATTGCAACCAACTATCTAGTCTACTTTAGTCTACTAGTCTACTATCTAGTTTTGCCTGCAAAATAAAAGCGCAAGAACATTTTTTTGCAGCAATCCTTTATTTAGAGGTGAATTGAGAGTTTTTACTTTAAAAAGAGTATGTAGCCTTCTTGACATAAATTTGAGTCCTCCCTACGTGGGCTGGAACACACATCCTTCTAGGTGACTGACTGAGCAAACCAAAAACTAAAAATTCAGTTTAAACGTTATGTCTTATGTTCTCATCCACCATCTAATGGATAAAAAACATTGCTTCTATGCAAAGCTTATTTGCCGACCGAAAGTTTTCAGTATAATGAGCGTCTATTTGTCCTAGAGCGCTGTGTAAGAGATTATTTGGCCTTAAAACTGAAAAGTCAGATTTATTAAAGTCTTAAATCTCTTGGGTAAACCTACCGTACAAATTAGTTTGGAGCTTGAAAAGGGTTTACCAAAATCTTGTAGTGAAAGTAGTGAAATATATGAATACAATCAATGTAAAATAAATGTCTAAAATTTCATTTTGAAATATTGTTTTTTGAGAAGTGGAAGTCTGTTACTCTACTTCTATTAAATGACAGGAACAAGATAAAATGGGACTGAATAATGACGTTATACTACATATTGAGCTTAGTGGGTTTTGTGAAAATGAAACATGAACGTTACAACTGTTTTTTTTGTTTTTTTTTCAACCGAAGTATTTAATGTATAAAAAGAAACTAAAAAACACACTATTACTACTACTACTACAATATTTACATGATGGGCAGGTTTTATTTTTTCAACTGTCATGCCATGCTGCAAAATAGTTTCTGTCCAGCTGCAGGCAGAGGGAAACATCACATTCCCTGCATTTCCACAGTGTGTCTTTTCGCTGGCCTTGGCTTTGGCCACCTCCTTCGACCCGTGGTGGCTCTCGCGCTGGGGCCTGCTACATGGACATCAGCAATAGGCACAGGAAGATGACCTGCAGGTGTCTGGGCAGGAGCTGTGTGGAGAGACTTGGCCACAGAAAGCTCTGCTTTTCATTGCTCGGCCAGACAGAGTTCCTTGTGAAGAATAAAGCTGCTGGTGGTGGCAATGTCCAGAAAATTATAAAACAGGTTTCTGTATCAGGGCTTTATGTTGTGCAAAGCAATACTGAATGAGCTGGTCTGGTTGATCAACTCAAACCATGTGGTCCATGCAGGGCAGTCCTTGCACTTCTACCTGTTAAGTCCCACAGGCAGCAAATCTGCGCTCATGGAGAGCCCTAAAGAGCTTAGGGGTTGAATAAAAATTGTCCATGTGGCACCCTGTGTCAAGGTAACCTGATATTGACCAAGCATGCCCAGAGGGGATGTCACATTTGCCAGTGTAAATTGAAAAGTCCACTGTGTAGCCATGCCTTGAATCAGCCAAGACAAACAGCTTGAATCCCCACTTTGTGGGTTTTGCTTTTATTTACTGGGTCAACCCAGTTTTAGCCTTGGAGGCGACTATTCTTTCATCTACAGCCACTTCTCTGTGGGGATAATAAAATTACTTTGTCATGGTAGGCGGTGCCTTTTCTTTTGTCATTATGGACTTCCTCAGCAAGGTTGCTAAGATGAAGGTTCCAAGAGATTGTTGTCTGTCCTGTGGCATGATGTGAAATCTGAAAAAACACAAAAGCAGGCAACTCATAGTCATGACAGAGGGAGGTGTGAGACTGCTTCTCGTCTGTCCTGTCCACCACAGCAGCAAATCATACCTTGAACAGGTATTTCCAGTAATTTTACATTCAATATAAAACCACACACAAAGTATGCTTACTTACATTATATTACTGAAATCAAAGCAATCAAACCCATCTGGCTCTGAAGCTCCACCGTCATGTCTTGTCGCTGCTTTCAAAAACCGCTGCAATAACTTTGCTAACTGTGAACTTACTCTGCGATTTTTTTGACCTTTCCGATGTTGATTGAATGAAAACTGCAGTGTTAGTCTACTGTCTAAGGTGAGCCTCAGCCTGAGTGTTTGTCCATTAGTTAGTTTCACACAAAATGTAGACACACACATCCACCAATTAGGTGCGGTGAGAGACAGTTAACGTGTGTCGAGCCTCCTAGCACTGTGTGACTTACATAGGGGCTTGTAAGAACAAGGACTCACTAGTGGAGAGTCTACAGATTCAGACAACATCAGAACCATATTTCTGCTCTGTATTATTGCAGAGATATTTATAGAAACATTGACTAAACATTGAGTAAACTCGTTTTCTTTTTCTCATCTGACTTGGCCCGGCAACTTTAATGGCACTTAATGAACAATGGCCTGTAGTCTTGGCTCCTTGCTCAACAGCAACAGCGCCTGTTTGTACTAGTGACTAGCACTAGTACAGCCCTTTCTACCCTTCTGGATTCAGCTCTCATTTTACCAAAAATAGACAGTCAAAGAGGTCTACACTCTGGTTTACAGATGAAACACATGTTCTAAAGCAGGCTTGAAGCCCACACCCTACACCCCACCCTCATAATATGTTGAAAGCCTGCAGCATATGAAATGTGTTATGGATATGAAAACATTCAGGCAGTCGATAAAAATCCCGAAGATTAAAGATATAACAATAAAAAAGGGAAGTGTCTGGTGAAACTCATAATCATGCGCATATCACCTTTTACATACTGCAAGTTAAATGACGTAGTTATTTTAACCCAAACCATAGTCTTTTCCTAAACCTAACCAAGTAGTTTTGGTGCCTAAACCTAACCAGATTGTGATGTTTCACTGTGTTAACCAGTAGTTTTATTTTTGTATTGTTGCTAACTTGACAGCAACATGTGCAAAGGGTACTCAGGGCATTAAAAAGTGACCCCAAAGGGTCCTGACCATTTTAGTGGGGCACAGCACATAAATACTGGGGCATGTGCCCCAGTCAAAAGGGTCTAGCGACGCCCATGCCTACAGCCGTGCAAATACTTGCTTAATCAGTAACAATAAGCACAATCCAAGATTTATTTGTAGCTAAACTCACTCAAAAGCTGCCATCTGTCAGCTGCTCATTCTTCACGGCTCATGACTTCTTAGATCAGCAGTTCCCAAACTTTTTAGGCAACGCACCCCCTTAGTGCTGGGCAACAATTAAAATTTTCAATCACGATTAATCGCATTGTTGTGTGCAAAATTGAATAATGAATTCTAAATCTAAAGTAGTGTATTGCCACTTTTAATTTAAATGTACTTCTATATACACAAAATTGCAATAACGTGGTTTGAAAACACTTTAAACAAATAAAGTGCTTTTTACCAGCAGTATTCCCTTTACTTTAGTAGCAATAAAATACTTCTTGTAAATCTCAACTTAAACATTAATGTAATCAAATATTAAACCACTGCCAGGGCATTACCTTTTATCTAGCTTGTTAAAACAAGTTACCACCAGAGTCCAGTTTTCTTGAGGGGGTTTCTGAAAAGGTATCAGCAGAAACATTTTCTTTTATCAGGGAGCAGCAGAAACAGTCTATGTTCAGTATCAAGTTTCCTTGTTAGAGTGAGGTGAAGTGGTCGGGCACAAGGTGTACCAACAAGCGGGTGCGTTTCTCTGAAATTGTCGCGGTGGTCCTCGCCTCACGCACACATGTAGATGACGCGCAGCACAAATCATCGGAAGACAGACTGATCCTCGCTGTTTGTGAGTTTCCAGAATCTAAATAGTTATCAGGACATCAACAGGGGGGAATTCACATGGCAGAGCGTCCCCGCAAAACTAGATGAAGGCCTATCAGGTAAAGTTATGTAGCCTATAATTTTAACTTAAGTTAGCCTACATAAGCAAACTCCTTACATGTAGCGCATAGAAGTCGTTGCCATGGTTACCATCAACAGAGCTCCCGCCATTCACTCGTGGAACGCGGTCTTCTTCTACTCCTACTAGCTTCAGCCAAGAAGTCTGCTGAAGCCTCCCTCCCCTGCTTGTTTGGGTGAGTGATTTGCAGGCTGATCAACAACTCACCCCTCCTGTGACCCGTGATTTGACTGGATGTGTATTCAGAGCCAGTGAGCAAGGGACTTTCAAACTAATAATAATGAAATAAAAACTGCATTAACTTGTGATAAAATAATTGTCGCTATTAATTAATGCATTAATGCGATAATAACGCATAAAAATGTGTCCAGCCCTAATATATATATGTGTGTGTGTGTGTGTGTGTGTGTGTTTATGAGTAATAGGAGGTGCTGCACAAAAATATGCTCTTCAGTACAGCTCCTCAATCAAAAATGATTTTAATTATGCCTAGTAAAGAAAATTGAAAATCACTATGTGGCGGTCAGCGTTGATAATTATCCAAATGATAGGCTATTTATGGGAAACACTGCTTTCACTACCACCCCCTTCACCCCCAAACAAAGGAGTTTCCCCCCGACTAATATCATATTCATAACAGTAGCAAGGACTGTGTTTTTTACAAAGCATATAGCCTAGGCCTAACGTTTCTCAACCTCACCGGCTGAAATGAAAAAATAAAGCAAATAAATCCCGACTTTTAAACAGCTGTTTTTCTGCACATGTAGCCTATTTATAAGAGCAGTATTCAGTAGTAGTAGCCACTCTCTGCCGACGAGTCCAAGCATCAGTGGCAGCAGCTGCCGGAGTTTCTTTCTGTAAGTTTCACATTGCTGCTTCAGCAGATGCTTCAATAAATCAGATGTTGAAATGTTCGCGGTTGAAAGTTTGTGCTGGTCGCACAGAGTTTACACTAGACGACAACGCCTCTCTCCCTCGTTCTCCTCTCTTCCTTTAGTTTTTGGCTATTAGCGGACATAAACAACAAAGGTGCTGCTGACCTGCAGCGCCGTCGTGCTTTCACGTCAAGGATGGTGCGTTCAGTGACAAGTAACGCAGCGTTACTTGGATTTGTTACTGTAATAATATTACTGTTTTAGAAAAGTAATTAGTTACAGTATTAGTTACTGGGAAAAGTAATAACATTACAGTAATGCGTAACACATTACTGCCCAACACTGGATAATGATTTGGATCATAAGCAAACTGGTGGAGTGCATTTGTTAGAAATCTTGATGACTCAACCCAGTACTTTCAAATTGTGCCTGACCCTTTCCTTGTTCTTCTTCTGCTCTGACCCACAGGTACAAGAGGAGTAAGGCTCAGTCCAGGTGGAGGGTACTGCAGATCACGCTGGCAGAGTCTCTCAACCTGTGGAGACTCAATATGTATGAACTGTTTCTGTGGACGAAAGGCTCCATGTTGGTACAGTGGCTCACTGCTCTGCTGGCATTTCTGCACTAAGACTCATCTGGACATCACACTGGAACATTAACAACAGGCCGGAACCGCTGGCTCTCGAGCATACTAACACATTTTGAATATGTGTTCAGACACACACGTACACACACTCTCTCTCTCTCTCACACACATTTACTTCCACAAATGGTAATGGCATAATTTGTAACTCTGTGGACACATACAAGGTCACAAGATGCTGATGTCTTTGGACACCAGGAGCAACCGTGGCTGCTGAAAATCTTTTTTGTTTTGTCCTACTATTTTGTCATGATTGTCACGTATGGACACAAGTTTTATGGTGATAACTTGAGCTTTGGTTTCGGGACTTAACAACATAAAGGACACAACTCAGGCACAAATGCGAAAGAGGTTTTGCTTTTGGAGGCTCACGATCGGCTGGCTCATTTGTTGCTTTCACGGCCCTCGGTGGCTTGGCACGCCACATGGCCAGCTCGAGCTGGTCTTTGCCAATGGGGATGTCTGAGTCCTCGTCTTTGGTGTTGCGGGAAACTCTTGCAGCAAACGGGCCATTATCCCTGGATTGGCTCTCTGAGTTAGGAAGGCTACTGGAGTTGTTCTTGATTCAGTTGACTAGCCTCCAAACGCTGTCCTTGGGGAGTAGGCTAGTGAAAGTTAATTCGAACTGAAATAAAGGCTTAAAAGAAACTTGGTTGTTTCTGAATTAAAAGTTGCGTGTGTTAAACGGTCTGATAACTTTATACAAACCAAACAAAAGGTAAATTCACCGAAGGTTCGCGGGACCTCGTGAATATTGCCAAATTTCTATAAGAAGAAAACTTGAAGTTGCAGAGATTTCCCCGGGCCGAAGCTCTTGGATGCTGGACGTTGCTAGGAGAGGTCGCAGGAGCAAGCGAGAAGAGCAGAGAGAAGAGCAAATGTCTCTGTGTTTGTTTGTCATTCCCTTGGTGCGTATCCCCAGGTAGGAGGGCTTTGTCCTCCTCCACAAAATCAACTATTTCTTAAATACCATAAACAGTTACACCGTTATAAGTTATAACAACATTTCATAGTGATAATATTGATTGTTACATGTTCTTAATAACAAAATATCTAAGAAGGTGTTTAAGGATGGCATTGGTATAATCACAGGCAGGAATGTTAATGAGCAAAAGTTAATGAAATTAACAGCACAGCAAATTATTTTCCTTATGGTTCCTTCTTTTCAATAGTTGCTAAACAATACGACATGGTAATAAAATACTCAAAACTGAAGTGGCCACTAACTAACTTTTAAAGATTATGTAACTAAACAAAGCTACAACTAGCTTAGTTTGAGAAACATTATAAGAGAAACATTATAATGTTTCTCATTATAATGTTTCTCATTATAATGAGAAACAGATAATGAGAAAACATAATGAGAAACATATTTCTGGCATCTGGCATTCTTATCAGTATTTACATCAGCGCGAAAAGGGAGAGGCAGGTTTGGTGTGTGTGTGTGTGTGAGGGAGGGTCTCAGTTTATGCCTTTAGATGGCCGCTGAGGTCTCACAGCTGGTTCAGGGTGAGGTTACGTCTCTGGAGAAGGTTAAATTCATTTTGACAGTCAGGAGTAGAGTCAGTTGTCTTAACTCCACAGGAGA